GGTATTCTGGTCTGATACAGCCTGGTGGAACCACTGAGACCATGGCCCCTAGCTGCCCCTCAGGTCTGGAATTGAATCCACACCTGTGGTTTCCAGTCAAACGAAAGACAGGCATATGAGGTGTACATTTACACTAGGTAGAAACACTCCTTGGAGAGAATAATCATAGGAGAATAGAAGGGCTGTGCATGCACAGGGACATAGCTCAGAAGGCAGGAGTGCATGGAGGGAATGACACAGGGAAGAGGTAACTATGGGAAGGATGTGGGAGGGGAGCTGTTGCATTGTATTAAATTGTAGTCAATGTCATGAGAAAAAGTGTATGTGAACTTCTGTATGGAAAGGGAATTTGCTCTGTAAACTTTCACCCAAATCACAATTAAAAAAAAAAAAAATAGCAATGCTAATACTGCATTTAACAGATGGCAAATAAAATTTTAATGAAAAAATAGAAACTGATATTAAGTAATTTCCTTTGTGGAAATTCTTCATAAGTTCATTCTTCTTGAATTTTAGTATATTGTCAGTGGTATATTTGTCTTCAACCAAATGGGAATCATTTTCCTTTTTTTTATTTGAATAGTCCAAATATATTCTGTAAATGAGCAAAGGTAGGTATGGAATTACAGTATTTTTTTATAGTTTTCTTTATAGCTCAGTGCCTTTGTCTTTAGTAACATTGGTAAATATTTTATAATTTTTCTCAATATTTTGGATTGAATATTCTTAACAAACTTTAGGAAATTGGCTTGATTTAGTTATATGATATATAAACTTTAAAATATCCAAAAGAAGAAATTCCCATATACTTGAAAGTGAGTACACACCTCCATAGATTATCTTGAAGGAGAAGGTACACGTAACTTTATGTGTAAATTAAATTCTTTCTCAAAATAAAAATTAACACCATTTTGTACACATGCTGCCTGTTGAGTAAAACACATTTAAAAAATTACTTATTTGCCAAATCTGGATTTATTTATCCTTCAAATGATACTAAAAGAGTTTTATTCTTAATCAATTGTTCAGCATTGGAGATAACGTTATTTCAATAGGCCAGTTGTTATTTCACATCTTCACTGAGAATAGAACAAGAGAAAATTCATTCTAAAAATTTAATTTTTAAAGTTATATACCTCCAAGGAGACCTGGAAATACTACCACACAAGCAGATTGTGCCCAGTTACCAATGTCAACCACTCGGAAAGTGATCAAAATAGGAGTTCCTGGATAGAGTGAGAGAAAAATGTGGAACAAAATTCAAAATCATTGAGTGGGGAGAACAACCTTACTCGCCTGACAGAGACTGATGAAACCCTGGACTATGGCTCCTAGTCACCTTTAGGGCCTGGAATTAAACTCATTCCCATGGCTTCCAGTCAAACAATAGACAGGCATATAGATTGAGCATTTACACTGGGTAGGTACACTCCTCAGAAAATTTAAAGGAATGT